ACACACTGGAGGGACTACAGTACTGTATGTCTCTCGGCTGGCCTGGGAACACCTTGGAGTTCCCCCGGAGGAGCTGGAAGAAGTGGCTGGGGAGAGGGAGGTCTGGGCCTCCCTTCTGAAGCTGCTGCCCCCGTGACCCGACCCCGGATAGGCGGAAGAAAATGGATGGATGGATGAGTTGTACTAGTGCTCCATTACTGGTTAGTACCAATTAGATAAGGACTGTAAATCAGGTGATGAAGAACCCAACAGCTTGTCTTTGAAAAGTAACACAAAGCAGAACTCTGGGCGTTGTCTCAATGGGTATGATAACTTTTGACTCAAGAACCAGCTTCGGACGATCTGGCGCAGGCAGACACACATCTGATCTTCAGGTGATGTATTTTTGTTTTCAGAAAACTGTTATGCAGTCTTTCCATAATATAATCTCTTATTATATTGTGTGTAATAAATCTACTTAAAACTAAAACCTGCTTCCTACTTCCAGTTTAGCTGTTCTTAAACGAACGAACTCGGGGCGATCGAAGGTGAGCCACAGACAGAAATCTCGATCACATCAGCAACCCATGACTGTGTGACTCACATTATTATTATAATGATCTTATGGCCAAACAATAATCAGAACCAGGGCCAGATCTGGCCCGCTGGTCTTCAGTTTGACGCACGTTACCACAGAACTAGAAGGAATCCACCACCTTTAAAATCTTTTAGCTAGTCTTTAGCTACTTTTTATGATGGAGTATTACACAGCAAAGACGCCAGTGTTGATTTTAACACCAGCAAAGTGTCTATATGTGTCCACACTCGCTGGTGTTAAAATAACATTTGTGAAAGTGTTAAATTTTAATACTCATTTTTTTGTTAATTTAACACCAACCAGTGTTTAATATTCAACAATACTTAGAGTCACATTTACATAAAAATAGAGTTTAGTGTTAAAGTATAGTGTTAACAGTAACACCAGCCAGTGTTAAATATTCAAAAATACTGGGAGTCATATTAATGTTTTGATAATGTTAAAATAAAGAGTTAAAAGTATCACCAGTGTATTATTATTAACAAAGGAAATTGTGGTGTTGGAAAGGTTAACAGACACCACAAGGTGTCAATATATCATCAGTTTAAGAGTGTAAATTTAACACTCAGTTTATATCAAACTCTCTGTAGTGTTGCACCAACACTACGCAGTAGTTAGTAGAAAATATAGCAGAGTCACTCTTCACACACCAGGACATACCTCTCACTCATGGTGTCGATTTATGGCAAATAACATAAATTTAAAGTTGAACAACTTAAAAAACTGAACAAAAAAACTAACCAGAAGAACTAATTTTTACTCTCATGAACGTCTTTAATAGTCATAAACATGCAAAAACACCATTTCTGCAAGATTTCTCAGCAAGGAATTCTGGGTAAATTCTGGTCTGTCTGACATGAGGTGGAAGAGGGCGGGGCTTTTCACAATACTGCTTTCAACACTGCAAGGTGTTATATAACAACACTGTTAAGTGTTGTATAAGACTTGACTGTGGGCGGAGCTTATTTAACACTGTCCAGTGTTGAGACAACACTGAGGAAATCAATGCTGTGAATTAACACCAACACTGGGTGTGAGTGTACTCAGAAAGTGTTAAAATAACACTAGGTGGTGTTAAATCAACACCCAAAAGTTTAACACTGCCATTTTAACACTCCTGTTTTTGCTGTGCAGGGCCACACGAGAGTTTTATTTTTATTTTCTTAAAAAGTACGAGAATAAAGTCATAATATTATGAAAATAAAGTTGTAATATTACAAGAACAAAGTCATATTATTATGAAAATAATGTCATATAATTACAAGATTAAAATCGTAATTTACAAGATAGCAGGACTTGGATATTGTGAAAACGACTATACGATAAACTGAAGCTGTATTGTAATTAATGGTAGTTGGCACGTAGCTAATTTGGATGAAAGCATAATAATCTAACAGTGATCCGAGTCATCATGGACTACTTTATAAACACAGAGACACATGGCTGAGAGGAAAATAAGGAGGAAATGAGGAATGAAAAATGGACACGTCATGTAAGATTATGACTATTTTTCTCATAATGCTACAACTTTAATCTCATAATATCACAACTTTGTTCTTGTAGTAATAATAAAAAAATCTTGTGTGGCCCTAATACTCCGTCGTAACTTTTAGCTTCTGCCTACTCCTTTGCTACTCGTAGCTGTTGCTGTGTGTCACTCATGTTAGCTAGCTTTCTGCTACGTCTATCTTGTTGGGGTCACCACACCCCTCCCAGGTTGGTTTGTTTGGTAGAATCAGCAGGAGACAACCTTAAAAGTTTAACACAATTTATTAAGAATTACATGAAAACAAAACAACAACCAAGCAGATCCGGACACTTTACAAGAACGATCCTTTCCTTGTGTTCGCCCAAGCAGCATCTGACTAGTTTCTCCAGCCTGGTGGTATTTATAGTGTAAAGATGTCCTTATGTAAGTTCTGATAAGCAGAGACTGGTTTGGACTTTGTCCTGCCTCGTCCACACGACCCTGTTTGTGTTTGTGGATCGATGTGGGAGCAGGAGCAGTTTTATCACACACACACTGTGAGAAGTCACCATTTACTGAAACAGAGCTTCTAAATGAGCAGTTTTTCTTCTACGTATAAAATTAAACTACATGAGATTCACTACTTATTTAAAAGCTAAAAATCGTAGTGTTTTGCTTCTTTTACGTAGCCTTTTGCTATTTAGCATCATGGTACCAATTTGCTATGTTTAGCTAGCGTTTTGCTATGTTTTTTTAAATTTCCATAAGGTTTACTGTCCTTCATTGTCTAATAACTACAGCATGAAAAATGGTTTCTTTTAATCTTTGAATAATTTTTTTTGCCAAATTATAATTTTTTATTATTAGCCTACATGTTTTATAATTAATAATGTTGTTTTGTTGTGTAATAATAATCAGAAGTACTATTAAATACTGAAATGCATGTTTTTAACGTACTTTTTTCTTTGTTTTTCAGACAAAACCAAACAAGTAAGAGGCGTTACTTTCTGTTTGTACGAGTTTTGGACAGATTTAAGGAAGTCTTATCTCGACCTTGAACCAGGTCATAAATAATCATCTGACCAAAGTTAAATCTTTTGTTTGGAGACGTGTCAGTTCAGTCCCGTCTAGTCTTCCCTTCACTCCTGATGTGTTTTCCATCTGTGTTTGAGAAGAAACAATTTAACCCAAAACTACTTTTTATTAAAGCCAGTTAATTTAAGATTAAACCTTTTTTTAAACTGCAAGATATACTTGTTTGGGTTGAAGAGAGCTGCAGCAACAGAGTTGTGAACGAGCCCAGCTCTTTCTCATCTGCAGAATTCTGACCTGTTTCAGCAGTTTTCCCCCATTGGTGCGACCTTCAGACATTTGTTGACCTCAGCTGACCCTTGGTTGGAGACCAGGTTCCAGGGGCTGCCCTTCAGCCTTAAACAGGTAGCAGCCTGCGTGCCAAGGCCTCATCTCTCCAACCTATGACAACAAGCAGAATCAGGTTTGGCTATGAATATTTTAATACCCTTGGAAGCTGTATTTGTACTTATAATTAATCAGGTTCTTTTTGTTCATGTTCCTTGTTTGCAATAAAGTAAAAATATATATATATGAAAAACTTGATAAAATAATTTCCTCCAAAAATAAATAAATAAATAAATAAATAAATAAATAAAAAATAAATAAATAAATAAATCTAACAAGCCCTGGTTTAAATAACTTTATAGTAGCTTTCAGAACAACTGTAACTTCTTTTTTTTTAAACTCACCTTTAAAGCGCACTTCATCAGCATAAATGAGTTTTGTGCTTTTATTTTGAAACGGGCTTTCCAAACCGGAAGTTTATAGGCTAACTTTCTTAGCTTCGCTGCTAACACAGCTGCTAACACTTGAAATAATTAGTGGGAAAGCAACAACCAGCGGCGATGTGCACAAACTGAACAGCTGATTGTGAGTAAAACTTTAAAAATGTTGAGAAAATCTTTCATTTAACGGTTTTTGAAAATGGTTAAAATCTTACAGGTTTTTTCTGATAGTTTATGTTATTGGTCAAAAAATGGGAGAAATTCATGATGCTAAATAAAATTTAATGACTTAAAAATGGGGATATAAAAAAGTTTTTTAAAATAACTGTGTCCATAAAGTTTTTAAATCAATATAATTTTAATGATTTTTGATTGTAGTTTGTGCAAACTGTCCCACCACTTTATTTATAAATATATAAAAAAAATAATGGAGAAGTTACATTTTATGACTTTAAACTTATTTTATATTTACAAATTTAACATTTTTATTTAATAAAACTGTTTTAACAATAATGCTAAAAGACAAAATACCATTATGGATCAGTTTCAATGTTGCAAAATTTAAACTAATATTTTTGTTGTTAAAGGTGAAGCTCTCAGAAAGTTGGTCCTGATCCTCATCGTTGGCTCACCTCAAAGCTCACAAACACAAATTGGTTCCAATTTTGATACTGAACTTTATAAACCGGTCCATTTAAATGCTTGAATCCGTTGTTCTCAACTATATTCAGTTGGTAAATCCCTGAAACGATGTCCGATCTCCTGAATAACCCACGTTCCTCTGGGACCCCAAGTTTCATAGAGCAGTATGAACTTTTCAGAGCAGAACCAGACAAGAGAACTCAAAGACCGTCTCCTCTTCTTGGACTGATGTCCAGCCTGAACCTGCCCGGCAGGACTGGTAAAACTGTCCAACCACTCATTGCTTTCCACCAACTCAAACCTAATGGAGCCGCAGGAGAGGAGGGCACACAAAGTTTTGTGGATTTGAGTAGAACCAGGGAGGAGGCGAGACAAGATCCTGTTGACTGGGGTACAAGATTTACCAGAGACGCGAGTGTAACCTTGTATCCTATGTGCTCAACCTCCCAAGGACAGAGAAACTCGACTTTTGAAGATCCGTCTAAGTCTAAGGTTTTATTGTCATGTTTTCCATCTGGATCTCTAAGCACAAGTGAGAATAATCGACACAAAACTGAATCCGTTACAAACTTGTTGGGCAGTGAGTCCAGCTGCACCAAGTATACTCCTGAACTGGCTACCAAGATCCTTCTGCGTTACGGACTTGAAAAAGAGGACTTGGAGCAGCTGCTGTCTTACCCTGAAGACCAGATCACCGCTATGAATCTGCCTTTTGTCTTACAACAAATCCGCATCGAGAAGGAAAAGAAAACTAGGTCCGAACGCTGCCCTGGATCTCAGTCGGATAACATAATTAGGTCTGAAGGGACACCGATGTACCAGGGTAACATTTCAGTGACAGACACCAGACTTTGTGGGACCACAGAGGCTGTGGAGACCATTTGCAGCAGTGCTTTGTCGATAGTTGATGCTAACAGTAGCGGCCACCGTGAAAAACCGCAGCTAAAAGGCTCATCAGAGGTGAAACGCTGCAGCTCCTCCTCTTTATACAACCAGGACTGTCCCAACAGTCTGAGCTCAATCAGGAACTCTGTGGCTCTTCCAACCAGTGCTCCAACCAGTGCTCCAACCAGCGCTCCAACCAGCGCTCCAACTGATCAACCGCTCAACCAAACGAGCCAGACTTTACAAAACGCCTTCGATTTGTTCCAACTACCAAAGCAAGACACCGACATGAGATTTCCCCTAATCCTGTTTTTGAATAACCAAAAATCAAATTCAGCACCAGAAACCCAAACGTCTGACACTGTAGTACCTCCTGACCCACGTGCCTTTGAGCTTGATCATAGTATAAGTGTTTGTTTGAATGATGAAAATGAAACTCAACAAAAAGAGTTAGAAGTTGTTGAACCTGAGAAGAATCATGACCAAGAGGAACAACCGCACCGACTGGAGCAACCAGAACCACAGATGGAGAAAATAACCCTGCCACAGAACTTAACTGCTACGAAACCAGCGTCTTCACCATCCATAGAAGTTGTTGTTCCTCCGGCTTCACCTCAACCACTCCCAAACCTGACGATCCCTGCCCAGATGCTTCAGAAATCCTTCAGTTCTTCAGCTGGAGGGTCGGTCTTCAGGGGTCTGCCACCAGCAGCCATGATGGAAGACTACGCTGCGGCCACGCCAGAAACCTTTCCACATACGTGTTCTCTTTGTAACCAACACTGCGTCAATGTTAAGGTGACTTAAACACTTATTCGTCTAAAATCTAGGCTTTTTGTTCAAAACAAATGCATTGTCCCCTCAATATTTGCTTGTTTTGTTAGGATTGGATCTACCACCAGAATTCCAGTCTTCATCTTGAGAACTGCAAATTCCTCCGCAAACAGTGAGTTGTCCTTTTTTTATACCAAAGACTTTAAAATCGAAATAGCATAATTTTTTGGTGACGGAAACCTTTGAAATCTTAAAGTACAAACATGAATCCCAATTAGATATCTCTTCTGACGCACTAAAAACAGATCCTACTTATGTTTTTGTGTTTTCTACAGATACCCAAGTTGGGATGGCCAAATTCCATCACTTCAAAGGTTGTTATTTTTGTCAAAGATTCAAAATAACTTTTCTAGGATCTTTTCTTTTATCAGTCTTCTGTTTCTCTCGTACCCATTTAGTTTTTGTGAAAACGTTGCCCTCCAGTTTCCGTCGCCGTCTGCGCAGACCTTCCTGCATCATGACCAGAAAACCAGACCTGAGAGCCGCTCCAGGGCCGGTTCAAACAGCCCGTATTACCAACCCTGCAGGATGGCGGACAGAAGGGATGAACCCAGAAGCCGATCCTGTTCACCAAGTCCTTATTACCACCAGACCCCCATTAGCAGAAGAAGAAAACGCAGGAGCCGATCAGGAGACTCTCAGAGCTCCAGATTTACCTTCAGGTCTGTGAAACACGTGAGAAATATATTTTATGTTCATATATTAACAGAAAAAACCCAAGGTCATTAAAATAACGTGAAACTAACAAAAGTAACAAAAGATTTTAGTATATTTTAAGAACAATTCATTTCAATCCAAAAATACTTTATTGATCCCAGAGGGAAATTAGGTGTTGTTGTAACTCATTTAACTAAAAACTTATTGTAGATGCTGATGGCTGTGGGCAGGAAAGATCTTCTGTAACGGTCTGTATTACAGCGAAGTTGAAGAAGCCTCCGACTGAAGACACTTTGTCTTTCTATGACAGTCTGATGAAGAGGTTGGTCAGGGTTGTCCACAATGTTCTTGATTTCATGTAAAATCCTTCTTTTGACAAACTTCACTTGAAAGGATGAAACCTATAAAAAAATTGAATATTATTTGACAATAGGAAGATCTACTTCCTGTCGAACATCAGGGCTCAGAAAGGCTCTTCAGAAATGTTCAGTGTTGTTCTGAGCGGTTTTAGTTGTGTGTTTTGGGTCATTATCCCACGAGCTGCAACTGAGATCAAGCTTTCTGATGCATTTCTACAAAATGCCTTGATAGTCTTGAGATATAGCCTCTTCCATGTTTCACTGTAGGTACCATGTTTTCTTTGTGTGTTCCGATGCATCTCAATAACCCAGATAGAAAATCTAACAAGGGCTGTTTCAAAATTCAGGGGCTGCATCAGTCAAAGGACCCAGCCTACCCGGTCAACGTGGGCCGGGTCCTTTGCCGACCTCATACACCAGAAGAAGGCTGAGGGTTTGGACGGTCTAGCCTTCGACTAAACAACTCAACTGCTATAAAACGTTAGATTAAAAAAAATTTAACTTTAAAACTGTACTCCTGTTTCTGGCTTTGTCTGCCTTTTTATAAGAAAAAACAAACTCCCATTCAGCCCACAATGCATCTTGGGATAGGGTGGGCTGAGAAGAATACACTTGACACGTACCTCAAATCGGGGGAAAAGGGATGTATTTGTGGGCTGCCTTTGGAGAAGCCTTCGAAGGAAGCAGTCCCTGAATTTGGACACAGCTAAGGTTGAGTCACCTTAGGATCAGATCTCTGCTTTTTGCGGATGATGTGGTCCTATTGGCTTCATCAGATCCTGATCTCCAGCTCTCACGGGAGCGGCTCGCAGCCAAGTGTGAACCGGCCGGGATGAGGATCAGTGCCTCCGAATCCAAGACCATGGTCTTGAGCTGGAAAAGGGTAGGGTGCCTTCTTCGGGTCGGGGAAGAGATCCTGCCTCAAGTGGAGGAGTTTAAGTATCTCGGGGTCTTGTTCACGAATGAGGGAAGAATGGAGCGGGAGATTGACAGGCGGATTGGTGCTGCATCTGCAGTGATGCGGGCGCTGTACCGGTCTGTCGTGGTGAAGCGGGAGCTGAGTCAGAAGGCAAAGCTCTCGATTTACAAGTGGGTCTATGTTCCTACCCTCATATATGGTCACGAGTTTTGGGTAGGGACCGAAGAACGAGATCAAGAAATGAGTTTCCTCTGCAGGGTGGCTGGGCTCTCCCTTAGAGATAGGCTGAGAAGCTCAGTCATCCAGGAGGGACTCAGAGTAGAGCTGCTGCTCCTCCACGTCGAGAGGAGACAGTTGAGGTGGTTCATATGGTTAGAATGCCTCCTGGACGCCTCCCTGGTGAGGTGTTCCGGGCACGTCCCACTGGGAGGAGACCCAGAGGAAGACCCAGGACACGCTGGGGGAACTATGTTTCTCAATTGGCCTGGGAACGCCTTGGAGTTCCCCGGTCACTTGGGCCAGCTCATCTGGGGGGAGGGAAGTCTGGGTCTCTCTGTTTAGGCTGCTGACCCCCGAGACCCGACCCCAGATAAGAAGAAGAAAACAGATGGACGGACTAAGGTTGAGTCAGATCTTTTGGATGGGTTCTTCTTCACTGAAATGTTTCTTCTCCTCAGAAGACTTCTTTTGAGTTTTTTGTTAACAAAAAGGTCGAAACAAACATGTCCACATCTATAATCTGATACTGTATATTTAATCTTCTCTGAATCCATGTTTGATATACTGCTAAAAAGTTAAGATATAAAATCTTTGGTTTGTGTCTGTAGGTCTCGGTCTCCCTCTCCGTGGTACGAAACCCCATCATCCTCCCATTATCGATCGCGTTCAAGGAGCCCAGAGAGTCGATTGTCGCCCAGGAGGAGAGAGAAGAAACCGACATCAAGGATGAGCAGGAGGCGACCGACCGAAGAGAGGTCGTCCTATAAACGAAGGAAACCAAGTACAGCAGAACGGCTGATTAAGAGGCTGCTGAAAATATCAGGTCTGAACAGCAGAAAAACACTTCAATCTACAAACTTTGAGTAAATGTTAAAGGTTGTAGTTCTTAGTTATCGTAAAACTCTATGGTTACATTTACAAAACAGACTCTAAAACTATATTCTTTGGTTTTTCTAGCTGTGAAGTCTCTTTTGGAGCCACCGAAACTAAAAGTCGTGGTTAAAACTCTGGTTCCCGTGATCCTGGCCGAGCTGAGGAAGATGAAATCCTCCTCATCCTCTCGTTTGACGATGAAAAGATTAAAGATGAAGTTAGCCAAAGCAAAGTCTGTCCTTCAGAGGATGGAGTCCGAATCTTCTACAAAACCTCAGGTTGGTTTCATTTTTTTATTTTGTGTCCCCGACACGCAACAAAGTTATCAACCAGTTAAATTTAATTCTGAAGCACGTCGACTACGTGCTGCAAAGTTAAAATATAAAAAATACTGCAGGTGAACTAATGTACAACTAAAGTAATATAAGTGAGCAATAAGTTTCTTTAACTTTTATCAAACTGGGAAATGTCCACCTAGTTAGGGAGGAGTGGTGTATTCACACAGTCATTTTAAAAACTGTAACTGAAAATTAAAATTTTAAGTACATTAAAACAATTATTGACAAGTAGAAAAAAAAGAGATGTAAGGAGCTTTTATTTTGACAAACATTTTGTACTTGTTGAAGTGTTTGTCTGATTTAGGCGACTTGTTTACATTCAGGCAGTTGGTTGTTTTGAAGATGATGCAGAGAAACTGAAAAGGATGAAGAGCCTCAACTCTAAAGGAGCACCGGTCTCTGTGGTCGCAGGAAAGGTAAAAGTTACTTCCTGTTTCCTGTTTGTCACTGGAAGATGTTCAAACCAACTGTTGGGTTATTAAAAAAATCCTTTTTTTTAGGATGTGGTTGTAAAGAATCAGAAGAAAGCTCCACAGCAGTAAGTTACGAAACATTTTTTTATTAATACAAATATAATTTTTATCAGACTGAAAACAAATACTCAACTTTGGCTTCTTGCCAATGTGGAGTAGTTGATTAGTTCGTACTTGAACATCACACAATTTAAAAAAAAAATTATTTAAAGAACACAGCTGCTGTCTTAACATCTCCAAACTCAGGGGCAGTTCTAGGTGCGGGGCCACAGGGGCATTGGCCCCATCTGAAATCTGAGCGCAGTGACGGTGGCTGCAGTTCCATGTCCAAACACTAGAGGCGCCAATGAGTCAAACAGTAAAGTCCAGCACAAATCGATCTTACAGAAGCCTTCTCTTCTTTAAAAGACTTGAACAATCCTGCAGAAAATATCTTTGAACTGACAATGGGCTTCATTTTCTCACATGCTTTGTATTTGAGAATATTTTATCCATGTACAGTAAAAATGCATGTAAAATCGATAAGGAGAATATACTGTGCGATCTTTTTTTAATAACATTACATTATGTTACAAGTGCTGGAACAGATGTAAGCAGTTACATTTATACACCTTATCAAAACTGAGGATTTATATGCAAGGATGTTGAACAACGACTTGGCCCCTCTTTGAATATTGTGGCCCCTTGATGGCCCCTTACTCAGAAAAATCCTACATCCGCCACTGTCCAAACTACAAACATTTATTTTTTTCCCTTCGTTATTTAAGAAACGACATCACCAAACAAAAAACTGGTAACCATCCAAAGTATTGTTACCAGTTGAGTTTATTTCCCTCCAAACTAAACTATTATTGTCCCACAGAAGACCCACGACGTCCACTCCCCTCAGACCACCAGTCGTCAAATCTTCTCCCGACACAACATCCGTTGCTCCAACTAAAACGCTTTCAGCTTTACTCCAAGAAAAAAAGACCAAAACCAGAAAACTTCTCTTAAAGGCAAAAATCTTGGTTTCCAAAGCTAAAACCGTCTGTTCCAACGCTGCTGGGAGACGAGCTTCAGAGTGTCGGACAGCCAGGACTTATTCTGGTAACTCCAAACTGAAACCAAGAACTAAAAACAGGGAAATAAACAGATCTTTAAAGGCTTCGAGGAAAAGAACTGAGTTTGTTGAGACGTTTGAATCCAGAGGAACGGACATGAAGCAGACGTGTCCGCCTGTTTGGTGAGTTTTATTTATCAGTTTAATTAAAGTTAAACTTCCTCGTCTCTTTATCTGATTCACTTTGTTTTTCTTTACAGGAGCAAAGTTCAGCGTGTTGAGTCGTGAGTATCTGATTCATTTAGTTCATCTGGTTGAGCATTGTAGGTATCTTTAGATGTTTTCATTACAAAAAGATTGGAGGTAGTTCACCAGGTTTTAATTTGTTTTGCTAAAACTTAAAAAAATAAATGGTAACTGGGTAAAGTGCTGGAAAGTGGTAATTTTTCCAAAACAAATCCTCTACGATTCATCAAACCACGTTTCTGCTCCTATTTTCAGTATAAGGAGCCTAAAGCGGCGTCTTCAAGAGTCCCGTCAGATTTTAAAAAACCTGGAAGACGACATCAAAACTGAGACAAAACCTGTTGAGGAGAACCCAGCCGCTCCAGTCCCATCGATGTCTGTAAAACCAGAACCAGTCGACGTCCCCGACGAGACCAGGTCCCGGTCCGGAGAGACCGATCGTCTGTCTGAAGCTCCGTGGAGTTTGATTATCTGTTCTTCAGGAGCTGCTGATGGACAGTTAGAGCTGGACCCATCTGCCGGGAGACAGAAGTTCAACCATCAAACCCAGAGTTTAAAGATCGAAGAGGCGAAAGAAAAAAGGTTTGAAGACGACTGTAGACATGAAGCTCGTCCAGAACTGGAGACGAGTTCTGGAAAATCCCCCATCGCAGACAAAGCTGAGAAGAATCGAACTTCAAAGAGCGTGGACGATGGAACCAGAGGAAAAACAGAAACCTCTAAAGACGTCCACCAGCCTCACAGAAACACAAACCGCAATAAACCTGCAAAAGACTTTACTGAACGAGCACAGACTCTGAATTCAGCTGACGATCGGACCGCAGCAGACATTAGAACCACAGAAGAAGAAGAGGCGAAGCCAACAGAGACGAACAAACTAACTTCAATAAAACATCAAACCAGGAGAACTTTTACAAGTAAAGATGAAAGAAAATCCCCAAAAAGACAGAACTTAATGACTTCAAACACCATGAAACCCGACGACGCAGCCGAAGCAAAGGAGCTAAAGAGACGAGGAGCAGCTAAAGAGCCGAAGAGGAGCAACAGGAGCCGAGGAGAGACGTGGCAGGAGGAGATGGACGCAGAGCCTCAGGAAGGAGGGTCAGGTGGTCCGGGGTCTCACAGGGGGGTCTCAGACCTTCTTATTCCAGGTAACAAACAGCTAAATGTTTACACTTCAGAACAAACAGCTAAAGTTTTACAAAGTTTCTCTCCTACAGACGGCGGAGCTGAGTTGCTGCCTCCTGATTGGTTCCATGAAGACTCGTCTGATCCATCAGGGGTTCAGATCCAGGAACCGGAACCAGAAGGACACAACAGGATTGAAGGTAGAAGATATTGTGTAAGAACGTTAAAAATCCGTTAAATTTAGATTCTTTCTTCGTCTCCAGATGTTGAACAGAGGAGGGACCCAATCGGATTAGAACGGGATCATCGTTCAGTCGACTTGAACCTGACGAGGTCCGACCCGCGACGCCCCGTCGGTGAGAAACCAGCTTCAGGTGCTGCCGCCTTAAAACCCCACAAACTGTGTCAGTCTGAGCCGTGGGGATTTTAAAGACCCTCTGTGGGGGGGGTGGGGTCAAACCTGTGTGTGGTTCTGGTCCTCTGCAGGTCAGGAGTTCGTGGTTCCAAAGTGGGGTTTCTTCTGCTCCCTGTGCTCCGTCTTCTACCTGAAGAGAGAGGGCAGGAGAGACGCGCACTGCTGCAGCCGCACGCACTACGACAACCTGCAGGTGTGCTCAGACGCAACCACAACCCACAAACACGCCTCTCACTTCCTGTTTCTTTGTTTGTTAGAAACTCTTCCAGAAACACAAACATGCCTCTCACTTCGTATTTCTTTATTAGAAACTCTTCCAGAAGTACAAACAGGAAGTTTCAAAAGATGCAACGAAGAAATGTGGCAGCCTCACTTCGACTGAGGTAAAACTGAGTCGATTAAATGAACTTTATATCGAGACAAACATGGATTTTTATCCTGTTTTGCTGCACAGGCTGCTGGGATTTGTTAGAGGACCTCAGGAGGAGCTCTGTGGACCGACGGCGGGACCAAACTGGATCTGTTTAATTTAGGCTGCTCAGGCTGTAAAAAGGTGAAAGACTGATCAGGAATGGTTTTTTTTTTTTTATTTAAATGTATTATTTATGGTATTTATCAGTTGGTGCTGAATTTAAGTTTGATTCAAACTAAAATCTTGAGTTTATGATGAATTTGTTTGTTTTAATTCGTGATGTCAATCATTTTTGTTTCCTGTAATAAAAAAAACTTTCACATCTGATTTTTTTTTTTTTGCATTGAATCATTTCAGCCCATCTGTAGAGATCAAACATCTTCACTATGGGATAAATCTTGTGCCAGCAGGAGTTGAATTTGAATTGCCCAGATTAATCTGAATGAGCATAATTGATCCTCACTTGCGAAGCGTAAGCAGGAGTCGTATTGATTTTTTTTTTCCAGTGATTTTTTGGTCAACTGTAGCACAAAATGGCTGCATCGATCAACATGAAATTTGGCAGGAATGTAGATGAGTCTGACCTACACTGCTCCAGCCAACGGTTTTACGATGGACCCCATATTTGAGGAGGGGACTCCTTTCAAAGAGGGGTTGTATGGACATGCAAAATTGCTTATAACTCAAACTGTTCAACAAAGAAGCTTCAGATTTCTTCTGTTGTTTAGCTCTGATGAAGCTCTATCCATCAGGCCCACCAATAAGTCCTCCCCCCCCCCCGGACCCCCAATTTATCTGAAAAAGGGGTATCTGGACATACAGAAATGGTTATAGCTCAAAAACTATTAAACATAGGAGATTCAGATTTCTTTGGTTGTTTAGCTCAGATGAGGGGCTGTCCATCAGGTCCAACCCACAAAAAAGACCCCCACCCAAACCACTACAATTTTGAGATGCACCTAGTAGCATGACATTTATTAGGAATTAGGGATGGGAAATCGTCCCTATTTTCAGATCATAAGATCTTGGTCACTGGCTATCGCCGATAGCCGATCCAATCGCCTGATAAGGCATGCGCAGTTACGTTAAAAAAAAAAAACAAGCAGCCAGGAGTAGTGGGTTTGTCCCTCCCACTCCCTCGTTTCCTGGTTGTCGCTCCCGCCCAGCACACTTCAAACACACACACACCAGAGCCCAGAGTGACGGGGAAATAAGCAGGGGTGAGGGAGTGCGCTCCGGTCCAGTTCAGAACTGGTTAGTTATTTGTTCAACTGTATGATTGTCATGGATTATTCGTTTTGGAAGTAAACGTCATAATATAGCACTATTTGGGTCACTTGTGGCGCACCAAAGCAATATGACATGAAGAGGAGCTGCACATGTTGGCGCCGACTCAGAGAAAAAAAAAGACACTGCACTGTACATTAATTATTTTATTACCTCATTTGCACAGATCACAATTATTAAATCATTTTAAATTAAGGGAGCATATAAAATTTATTTTACATCCTTAGTAAGGCATTTAATTAATAAAGATCGCCCTTTAAAAAAAGAAATCTCATTCCAACCCTTCAATCGCTGATAAGACTATTGAATCAAAAATCACACCATCCCTATTAGGAATAAAGACTTCTGAGTTCTGGTGCATTTGTGCGTGCGGGGGTCCTTATGTTACCGCTGTGCAGTATCTAGTTGGAAATTGAGTGCATTGGTTTGAAAATAAATTTCACTAAATTGAAACAATTTAATGATTTGAATCTGAATTAATTTGCTTTGAAACTGTATTTTGGTTTATTACAAATTCAGTTAAACTACTTTCACTTTCAGTTCCAAAATTCAGATCCACAGATTTATGTTTCACTTTGGTGAAGTTTCCCTTCTGTATGTAACAGAGTTGATGCAATCCACTGTAAAAGTGACAAAAACTGTTATTTTATTGCAGTGATTAATTTTCCCGTCATGGATCAGTCAGCAGCAGCATCTGATCAATACAGTGGTTTGCAAAAGTATTCATACCCCTTGAACTTTTCCATATTTTGTCACATTACAACCACAAACATAAATATATTTCACTGGAATTTAATGTGAAAGACCAACACAAAGTGGTATACAATTGTGAAGTGGAAGCAAAATTTTACATGAATCAAAACATTTTTTACAAATAAAAAACTGAAAAGTGCGACGTGCAAAAKTATTCAGCCCCCTTTTCCCTGAGTGCAACCAATTGCATTCAGAAGTTGCCTGATGACTGCTAATGAATCAAAAGGGTCCACCTGTGTGTAATCTAATCTCAGTACAAATACAGCTGCTCCGTGACGGCCTCAGATGTTGGTTAAGAGAATATTGGGGAGCAAACAGCATCATGAAGTCCAAAGAACACACCAGACAGGTTAGGAATATGGTTTTGGAGAAGTTTAAAGCAGGCTTAGGTTATAAAAAGATTTCCCAAGCTTTGAACATCTCACGGAGCACTGTTCAATCCATCATCCGGAAATGGAAAGAGTATGGCACCACAGTAAACCTGCCAAGACAAGGCCGTCCACCTAAACTTACAGGCCGAACAAGGAGATCACTGATCAGAGAGGCAGCCAAGAGGCCCATGGTGACTCTGGATGAAATGCAGAGAGCCACAGCTCAGGTGGGGGAAACTGTCCACAGGACAACAATTAGTCGTGCACTACACAAATGTGGTCTTTATGGAAGAGTGGCAAGGAGAAAGCCATTGTTAAAAGAAAACCATAAGAAGTCCCGTTTGCAGTTTGCCAGAAGCCATGTTGAGGACACAGCAAACATGTGGAAGAAGGTGCTTTGGTCAGACGAGACCAAAATTGAACTTTTTGGCCACAATGCAAAACGCTATGTGTGGCGGAGAAAGAACACTGCACATCACTCTGAAAACACCATCCCCACTGTCAAATATGGTGGTGGCAGCATCATGCTCTGGGGGTGCTTCTCTTCAGCAGGGACCGGGAAGTTGGTCAAAGTTGATGGGAAGATGGATGGAGCCAAATACAGGGCAATCTTGGAAGAAAACCTGTTGGAGTCAGCAAAAGATTTGAGACTGGGGCGGAGGTTCACCTTCCAGCAGGACAACGACCCTAAACATAAAGCCAAAGCTACAATGGAGTGGTTTAAAAAAAAGAATATTCATGTGTTAGAATGGCCCAGTCAAAGTCCAGACCTAAACCCAATTGAGAATTTGTGGCAAGATCTCAAAACTGCTGTTCACAAACGCTCTCCATCCAATCTGACTGAGCTTGAGCTGTTTTGCAAGGAGGAATGGGCAAGAATTGCAGTCACTAGATGTGCAAAGCTGGTGGAGACATACCCTAAAAGACTTGCAGCTGTAATTGCAGCAAAAGGTGGCTCCACAAAGTATTGACTCAGGGGGGCTGAATAATTTTGCACATCGTACTTTTCAGTTTTTTATTTGTAAAAAATGTTTTGATTCATGTAAAATTTTGCTTCCACTTCACAATTGTATACCACTTTGTGTTGGTCTTTCACATTAAATTCCAGTGAAATATATTTATGTTTGTGGTTGTAATGTGACAAAATATGGAAAAGTTCAAGGGGTATGAATACTTTTGCAAACCACTGTATGTGATCCATGATGTAAATCTAACATTTTCTATAGGTAAAATTAATCACTGCAATAAAATAACTCTGTTTTTGTCACTTTTACAGTGGATTGCATCAACTCTGTTACATACAGACGGGAAACTTCAAAGTGAAACATCAATCTGTGGATCTGTGTTTGATTACTCTGCCTGGCTGTCTCAAGGACCAGGATGTGACACAAAAGTCTGAATTATGAAACTGAAAGTGAAAGTAGTCAAAACTGAATTTCTAATAAACCAAAATACAGTTTCAAAGCAAATTAATTCAGATACAAAACTTTAAATTCAGATTCAATTTAGTGAAATTTATTTTCAAACCAATTCGTTCAATTTCAAATTGTGCACATTCAGATTCAATCTGAGCAATTCAAATTCAATCTCTGCTGACACAAGATTAATTCCGTACTTCACTGTAGTTACATTCTTTTTAAAAACAAATTGTCCCAAACAACTGTTCAGTCCAAAACAAATCTATAAAAGAGTATAAAAATATAACAGTAAACTTTGATAAAGTGTAAAAATGTTTGGACGGTGAGTCTTTCATCTTCTGAACAAATTTCGTTTGGACGTCCTGGTAGGTTTCTGTCGAAGCGTCTGGTAATGTTTCTGAATGAGGAGAAAAGAGAAGAATAAGAGACGAACAGCGTTTCTTTGAGCTGAACCTGGAGTTTCTCCGCACCTTCAGGTTGTCGTAGTGATCCCGGCTGCAGCAGTGAAGATCCTCCCCGTTCTCATCCAGGTAGAAGACGGAGCAGAGCGAGCAGAAGAAGCCCAGTTTTCGCTCCACAAATGACTCCCCTGGAGACACAAACACCAAATCTGATCAGTGGAGCTGATTTCAGGAGGCAGTAAAGGTGGACTCAGTCAGGTTCTCACCGAGCGAGTCCTCTGGGTTGAACTGTGCTGGTTTGAGATCAGAAGGTTCCTGAGACCGAGGTCGCTTCACGTCTGGTGCAACAAGCTTCGTCTGTTCGTCAGGAACTGAAGAGATGAAGAGAAACTTGTTGGACGAACAAATCTCTACAAAAACAATGTGTGCAGCCAAGAATGTGTTGACTTTCACACACAACTCCATGTTTTAAGCCTGAAAACTAAAAACAGAAAAACCTGTTTTGTCGTCGTGTGAATGCTCAGCAGGTCCTTGGATTTTCTCTTCCTCTTCGGCTTCATTTAGGATCTGCAACGATTAAAACAGGAGTTATTTAATGACGATGCTTCTCAACAAAAGGAAACTTCATGTCCTCACCTCAGGCTTTGTGTTCCTCACCTCTACAGAAGCTTCATCCATCGTCTCTTTCTCCTCCACTCTGCAGAGTCCAGAGGCCTTCATCTCTTCTTGAACTTGATTTATACTCAAAGAATCGTAGATTTGATCGTCAGAGCTCCTGTACTGGAGCTTTACTTCTTCAGCTACTTTACTGGACGAGTCTTTGTTCTCTGAAGCTGCTTTCTGTTTGGTTGTCTTCTTTGGTCTTCCTCTCCTTGGTCTTTGCGTTTTCGACTGACAGATCTCCTCCTCCTCTCTTGTGTCTGTAACCGCAGCCTCCTTTGTCTTTGTGTTTTCTGTTGGAGCTTCTGTTTTTGGAGTTTTCTCTCCGTTGCTTTCCTGTAAATCCCTGGTCAGTCTTGGCTTTTTTCTTGGGACGTTTCCATCATCCTCTGTTTTTCTTCCTTTGGAAGATCTTGTCGTTGGTTTGCTTTCCTCCGCTGTCCGTCTATCAGGATCTTCTTGAACAGGTTCCACGACCTTAAAGACCGTCTCTGCTGGACCCTCGATCCGTTCCTCGTCAACTCGTTTCCTGTTCTTGGCTCGAGTTTGGTATTTAATCGTCACGTCCTGTTTCTTTAGAGACAGCCTTCTCTTTGAGCGACTGCTCCTGGTCGGTCCATCTGGAGTTGTGGGTTCAACGTCGGTCTGATTGTCAGTTGAACTGATCATTTCTGTGATGTCCTGTTCAGGAGGCTTTGTCGAGCTGTCTTTGGAGCTGATGGTTTCTGGAGGCGGATCATGGTTGCAGATTTGTTGCAGCTCATTTGAACATTTTTGGTTGTGTTTGTCGCTGCTCCTTGGTTTCTGGTTATTTTGATCCAGTGCTTGAGTTTTATCTCCTGGACCTTCAGTCGTTGACTGTTTAGAACCTTCGGCTTCATGGTTACCTGGTGCGGTTTGGTTTTCAGTAACACGTTTTTTTACTTCATCCGTTTTATGGCTCTCAACACCTGATTCGTTGAGTTTTTCCACAGTAAGAAACTGACTCTGAGCTGATGAAGGAGGAGTTCTGTTGCTGTCCCTGGTCTCTGGTGCTTCTTTTGAGGCGGACAAACTTTGTTCTGTAACTGGTTCAGAACCAGATGGACGTGTTCGGAGCTCTGTACTGGGCGGTTCTGCTGTGCAGCCTCTGGTTGGCAGCCCTGACTCCAGGATTTCATCCTCTATAGATCTCAATGATAAATGATGCTCGTCATGCAGACGATTTTTTCGAGCCCTCAAACTGAGGAAAAGTAAAAAATTACTGTCAGCAAGTGAAGACTGGTGTCGTTATTCATTTGAACAGTTAGCACAGACATTTGACATCCATAAGTCACAGTTCTTCAGGTATTTACAACTGAGACATTTTGTAATGTCAAACTCTGGATGTTTTCCTCTACGCCCCCCAACTTCTCTTATAGATGAGATTCTGATGTGTAAGTCTGTAACAAAACGCTCTATGAGYAGAGTTTATTCTCTGCTCAGCTCATTTTCTGACTCCAGTTTAGATTCTTTGAGGGGCAAGTGGGAGATGGACTTGGAGGAATCCATATCAGACTCAGTTTGGCAAAAAATTATTCAAAATATATATTCGTCCTCAATATGTGTGAAACATGTTATAGTTCAATTCAAGGTAGTACATCGTCTAYACTGGTCTAAGGACAGATTGTGCAAATTCAAAAAGGACTTGGATCCGTCGTGTGATCATTGTAAACATTCTCCTGCCACAGTCCTGCACACATTCTGGTCCTGTCCAAAGCTACATGGATACTGGGAAGGCATCTTTGATACCTTTTCAGGACTATTTGGACGAACTGTTCATCCATCACCATTCATCTCTCTCTTTGGGGTGGCTCCAGCAGAGGCTTCCCTCAGTGAACATCAGAGGACGGTGTTAGCTTTCTGCTCTCTACTGGCTAGAAGACTTATTCTTCTTCGATGGAAGGATCCACATCCTCCAGTATATGGTCATTGGTTAAGAGAAGTTATGTCTTACATTCATTTAGAGAAGATTAGATATACTGTTAGGGGATCTGTAAACAATTTTTTTGACATTTGGCAGCCATTTATATCTTATGTAGAAAATATTTCGGCAGATAACTTTGTGTAAAGGTTAAATATTGTTTCATTGTACACAAATCTGCTCATTGTATCACTTGTATTAATACAAGATCGATTTTTGTTGTTTCAGTAGATCCGGTATAGGAGGGGTGGGATTTTGGGTGTTTGTGTTTTTGTTAGTTTGTTATTTGATTTTTGTTGTGCATTATGTTAAAAAAACGTTCATCTTATCCATTGTGCTTAATAATAAACACATTTTAATAAAAAAAAGACTGGTGTCGTTATTTTAAAAGCTACTAAAAAATGTCTTCAACTAACCTGATAATCTACATCAATCTGTTTCAAATAAATGACTTGGATTAATCAGCTCATCTATTTTTAATTTTGCATCACTGAAGAGAATCATTCTTCTGTTAGTAGATTTGTGTAGCTTTGTGACTCCAAAGTGTCAGAAGGAAAAATAAATCAGACATTTGTCTACAGCTTTGTTTGACTAATCAAACATTTTCATCTACGGTCCAAATCTTCTACATTGCTCAGCTGTAGTTATATCTCCAACAGTCATGAGACAAAAGGTAAGGGACACCCTGGACAGGTCAAGAGTCCATAGGACCACAGAGACAACCAACCGTTCATATTCACCCCTAGGACCAACTTTGAGTCACCAGTTAACCTGGTGAGTGATTTTAAACCGGAAGAAAACCAGAGAACATGAAAGCCTCAGGGAGCAACCAGCTCCAAATCCACAAGAGTGAAGATCTACTCATTATTTTTAAAACATGCTTTGACTGAGATACTCACGACTCCACACGTAGAAGTTTAGTCCTGTGTAGGAAAAAGAAAAAAATCAAGTTTTGTGACTTAATGAAGATCATGTTGTAACTGATTTAAATCTGTGTATGTTTCTTTCTTTGGTTTAACAGTTTCAAAGTAACATTTAAAATAATAATAGGGTGTTTTAGTTAATTTTTTTAAACTAAATTGCACACGTTACATTTTCTCTTGGCCAAAAGTCGGAACAAAATAGTTTTAATATTCCAAGTTATGCAGAATAGTGTTCGAGTGCAGCCATTGTCAATATATTTAGGAATGTTTTCCATCTTCAGCCGCTATAAACTCTTCTTATTTGGCGACTTCCATCATTTTCAGTGTCACTACATGATAAAACTGTATATTTTATTTTAGATTTCCATAGCTGAAACAGAAATCAAATATTGTGGATTTTTAATTCTTTTTGGTTATAAAAACTGAAAAATCAAAGAGTGAACCACACAAGGATTGATTTACTCTGAAACGTACCACGGATAATCAAACCAATGGTCTTTCCCGAGATTCCACACCACCTTTGCAACGCTGCTGGAATTTGTCATCTCAATGTAAATCTGAATCAAACAGAATTGTTTTCAGTGAACTGGAACGGAGCACCGGGTCCACTCGAGGATGATTGTTGGTGTTTTTGTCAAACCCTGTCGGCAAGAGCCAGGTAGTTGACAAACGGAGCGATGGCGGCCACCCCCTGTAAGACCACCATAACCAGAGATGCGCTCGTCTCCTCGATCTCCACACACAGCAGCCGGTGCTCCAAGCTCGCAAGAACCGGACAATCCTGGAAAAAAAAAAAAGAAGTTAAAGATGGAACTTTTATTCAACTTTAATTTAAAAATGAAAACTTACAGCATTGCTCCACTTCATCAGATTGCTGTATATATCCTCCTGCAAACCAAACAATGTTTTAACGTGTTTTAAACTCGTCTCAGTCCTGAATGTGTCCTCCTGTGGTCCTGTACCTCTCTGAACCCAGGGTGCATGTTCTCTAAGACCAAGTGGACCTGAAGCCGGTACCTGACACAAACTGGCTTAGAGAGGTGATCCCGAATAAAACTCTGACACGAGTGCCAGTTGTTGAAATGCACAAAAGCCTGGAGGTAAAAGAAAAACAAAATGTGCGATGGGATTAGATTAAACAGGCAGCGGTCCACAAGAAACCTTCATACGGAAAACTGCCATCCTTCATTTTTCTCAACGTAAAACTAAAGATGATAGTCTGAAATTAAACAGGATAATTTGAAATGTTTTAAACATAAAAGCCTGCTGGAAGCCTTTAAACTAAAGAAGAACCTTGAGAAAATACGCTTTGTACAAAAACTGTGTATTAATAAAGAAAATCTTGAAGGTTTTGATGGTCGTACATGCCAATTATTTTTTTACATGAATTGTTAGTTAAGAGTATTTCCTCTAATGAAAAAAATGAATTGTGATGTTTTTTATGAAGCTAAAACACTTACACTTACATTGAAACATTGTAAAATCAAATATTGAAGAACTTATGAAGATGCTCTAGTTTTACGCTGCAGTTTTTTTTTTATTCCCAGTGTTGTTCCGCTCCTCAGCCAAAGGTAAGGGTCTTGTTTTGATGATTATAATCATTATTAGCTGTATAAATGGCAGCAAAAACACTTGCTTCTAACTCCTATGGAAAAAGAATACAAAGGAAAACATAAAAACACGCTTTGTATCAATTCATGGGATGCGGCCCATGTTGACCTCACCCTATGTGGGTCTAGTCAATGGAAGACGTATGTTTGTGTGACCATGTGCTGCCTTGTTGCCATTGTGATACATTTTATTTCACATACCTTCTGTTCAATAGTATTAAACATAAATAATTTGGGTTTAGCTCCAGTATGGGTACTTGTAATTTTATTTAACATCTAACTGCAACAATCGGCCAAGTTACTAAACATACATTTAAAAACAAAGACTTCGGTCCGTGTTGTATTTCCAAACTCCATCATTAAAAAAAAAACATAAAAAAACCAATAGAATAAAAATAAAAAACCTGCACTGTCTTCGTTTTTCTGTTTAGTTGGCCGAGTAGGACAGCTGATGTCGGCCGCGAGTAGGCGCCTAGAAATTGGGCCAACCTACAGCAAGGGGCGGTGACATAAGCACCGTTAAGTTAGCTAGCCCTAGACTTGTTTCAATTTGTTTTACTTAGATTTAATTGGTTTGACTTGTTGTTTTGTGCTTTCTTTTACATTTTTTGGTTTTACATGTAACACACCTTGTTTTAGCTGTGGTTGTTTTGAAGTGCCTCATAAAGTAGAAATAATTAGCTCTGATTCATGCCTTCGAAATGCAAGCCACCAATTAATTTTACTTTAAAAGTGAAATTGAACCAGTTGTTGGTTTATACTGATAAAAGTGATAAAAACAGGACCCTTACTTGTGGTTGAGGAGCAGTGTTTGAACCTGAACCTTCCATCGGTCGAACTGCAAACGAACAGAAGGGCCGTGAAGGAGCCTTCTGTTTAACCCCGCCCACCAACGTGACTAAAGAACTAAACTTCTCTCATCAAAAAAATTAACGCATCACAAGATTTTCAGTGTCACCGTTTTAGCTATCGTTCATCAATCTTTGGGGGACGTGGGTAATTTGGGACAAATATTCTTAGTGGGAATATTTGTTCAAACCACCTGTTTAAATGAATTAAATAAAGTTTTTGAGGTTGCTCAGAAGGCTCGTTGTGCTTCTTACCCTCCTCTGCATCGTCAGGACGTTCACGTTGAAGTACAGACACCGATGACTCGGTTTAAGAAAGTAAAACTTCACCAGCTTTGCAATGTCGTCGTGTTTGTAGTGTCCTCCTGGCAAACCGGTCAACATGACCGTCTTGAACGCAGACTCCGGAGGCGTCACTTTCTTCAGAACACAAAACGTTTTACTTTTAAGGAAAACTCACTAACGATCATGAATAATAATAACATAAAAGTAAACTTACTTTAATGTCAGACACTTTTCTGATTGTCAGAAAATCTAAAAAAAAAAAAAAATACCAAAAATATGAATATGACTTCCTGTCGACGTGGTTTAAATGTTCAACTTTCCACCAGTTTCTCCAACCTGGAATGACGAACCAAGGAGAAGCGGTGGGGAACATGTAGGGAAAGGTTGTCATTGTAACCCAAAATTGTGGCACGCCTCCTTTAGGAACACGGTGAACATTTGTTGACGTGGTTACCTTGGCAGCAACGTCATTGATTTCCTGCAAAGTGCTGACTTCCTGTCTTGGCTCTGCAGGAACAAGGGAAAACATGATTCAGATTAGACGGATTTCATATCAGTTTCTCATCTCTGAAAGTTACATAAATACAACCAAACGTCACGTATTTACACCAAGTCATCATTTCACCTCCATAAAACCAGTGGTTTTATCAGGTTGTGTGTTAAAACCACGCCAAGGCAGAAAGACACCGGTAAAGACGTTAGAGAATCAACTGCTGACCATCGATCTGGGAAAGGGTGAATTCGGGTGAAGCGCGTCGCAGTGAGAGCGTCGTCGACAAATCAATAAACTTTTATAACGCGCCTTTTTTTTTCTTTATTCTCTAAAACAAATACTTGCGCGGTGCTGATGTGGAGCAGCGTGGAATCTTCATCCTGAAGACTTTGTGGTTGAGGCCCATTTTCAGGCGGCTGAACCAAATGCCGAGCCGATCGGCGTCCGACGGACTGTTGAACTCGACGAACACCTGGAACACGGCAGACAGGTTAGTTTTACCAAGAGGAACGTCTCGCCTACAGCTCTGTGTGTGTGCGTGCGCGTGCGCGTGTGTGTGTGTGTGTGTGTGTGTGTGTGTGTGTGTGTG